TTTTTTTTGTTATCGTAACCTAACAAAATCTTAATTTTATTTGGTTTTATTTCTCTATTTTTTATTTTCCTACAATTATTGATTTACATTTACAATTTTTTTTTTTTTTTTTTTGATCAGATATTTCGGCATGTTATAACATATTTTGTTGCCATATCAAACAACTACCTGTCTAAACTAATGAATTAAAATAAGAATTAGACAACTAGTTGTTTGAATTAATGGATTAAATTAAGAATTAATAATGAATAAACGAGAAAAATATGTTATGTTGAATATGATGATGACATTTATCGAAATTTTATAAGCAAAATAAGTTCTTAATTTAATTAATGATTAATGTCATGATTCTCTTTTTTCTTTTTTTATTTGAAAATAAATATGAAAATTTATAATTGTCAAGAATAGTTGGAAAATAATCAATAATTACACACTTTAGTATATATCCTTTTTACAAGATTATTCCATCCTTTTCTTCTTTTCTATATTATTATAAATACTTTCGTAATTATTGGATAATAAAACTTTTTGATGATTTTTCTTTTTCATATATTTAAAGATTTCTTATAATTTTCGTTTTCATAACGTTCTACATTTTTCTAAATAATACTACAATTAAAAATTAATGAATTTGCATAATAAAATGTCAAAGATTTTGTTCCATGTTTTGTTTTATTTCAAACTATAAAAGAAATGATATTTATTAAATATGACGAGAATAGTGTAACCAAAATGTTGAAGGATAAATTAGGATTGTATCAAAAATCTCATTAATTTATTGGTTTACCTTTTTTTTGGTAGTTTTTTTTCTTTTTTTTTTTAAAATCTTCCAGCAATGGTAATTAATTAATTGACCGTAAAATAAATCTTTCAAAGAATTAAATGAAAAAGTAATAGCGATGGATGAATAATCCTGAAAATTGAATATATTTCTATTATTATTTCCTATTTTTTTTGCCTCATTTCAGATTGATTACTTTTTTCTTTTTTTTTTTGCTGGATAACTTCAGTAATTCCATTTTAAAAGCAAAAGAGACATTTGTTTTTATTTTTTACCTGCATAATAAACAGTTAACAAATAACGATGCAGAAAGGACAATCACTTAAGAAGTATGTAAAAGAAAGTGAATAAATTATCAAGAGTTGGAAAGATTGGTGATAAAATTTTTAGATTATAGATTTTTTCTTTTTTTTTTGATCATAATTTGATTTCATAAAATTAGATAAAATAAAGTAGAAAAAGAAATGAAGGTATCTGTAAACGATGATTATCATTATATCAACTAACACTTTTTTTTTTTGTTGGAAAAATGAATCTTCCAACCAAATACGAACTCTTGTCATTAGGTATCGGTGGCAATTTTTGTCAAGAAAAAAAAATACTAAATAATTTTTTTCTTAGTAAAAAAAAAACAAGTACTAAAGTAAAGATGAACTTCCAAAATTTAGTAGAATCTTTTTATTATCTTTATCGAAAAGTGAAAAATTTCAGAGCTGTTCTTAATCAATATGCAATAATTATAATTTAATATCCCAAATGAAAGCAAAGAAAATGAAAACATATTTGATTTTTAATGAGCGAAAATATCCTATTCTTTATTTTTTTCACAAATAAGTTGAAATTAGCCAATTTTTTATCCTAAATTAAAAAATTAATATTTCATCCTAAAATTCGATTAAAATGCAGGAATACTCTTCCATGTTTTAAAATTTTCAATGCATATATTTGTTGGATAATATTTTAAACTGAAAAATTCTTGAAATATCGTTTCCTTTTCGAAAAACTATCAATGATTTATGAAAATTTTGAAAATTTCAAAAATTCTTTTGAGACGAATTAGGAACAAAGTTAAAAATAGTTAAAAAATGTTAGAAATTGTTAAAAAAAGTATAAAATTGGAATATTTTTCAAATTCAAGTTGCTTCACATTTAGTAACTTATATTTTAATAGTCCTTATGCAAAGAGAAATTCAAATCAAAAAAAATAGAAAAATATATATATATATGTATATGTTTATATGAAATTAAAATCTTAATTTTTAATTAAAATTAAGTTCCTAAAATTTCTTACAAAGACCACTTTTTTAAAAATATAATATATAATCCGTAAAAGAAGAAAATGGAATTCGGTGAAAAAAAGAAAAAAAGAAAACTTCAGAATTATAGGAATAAGTGAGAAGGAAAAAAAAAATGGCGAGGAAATGGACTTGAAGATTGGAAGTGATAAATCAATGCTTTAAGGAATTCTAAAAGCTAAAACTGAAATTATTGCACAGTTTGGTCCTAAAATGATAATCATTTAAGTGAGACGAATGAATGGATTAAATAGCTCAAGATTATTTGACATTTGCAGATATTCATTAAAAATAGGAAATGAATTCTTTAAAAAAGACAATGAATTGGACGAAAGGATGAGGAAAAAGAAGAAAGGATATGGATAAAAATTATCAACGAATTTAAAAATTTGTAGATATTTGAAAATTTTAAATAGGCAAAATAATGCCATTTCACTGATAAGATTGACTATTTATTATCGGTGATAATTGATAATAATCATTAAGCAAAGCATCTAATTAGCACGATAATAGCATTTGAGATATCATACATTTCATTTATACTAATTGAACAAATGTTAATTAAGTAGCACTATTTTTTAGTTTGAAAATGGATAAGTTATAAGTATGTCAGAATTCCAAAGCAAAATCCATCATCATCATCGATAATATCATTTTACATTTAACATTCCATTCATTTTGAAATAGTATCATCAAATATATGTAGCATAAGAAGAAGAGGAATGCTAACTGAAGTACAGAAGGAAATAGATCAAAGGTAAGCGAAATGAATTATTGTTAAAGGTATCATCTTCTTGTTTTTTTTTTTATTTCGCTTGAAAAGAGAGTGATATTTGCATTCAGAAAAATTAAATAAAGAACTAGTGAAAATAGAATGATATAAAGTGAAAAGAGATAATTTAGTTTTTAAATTATCTCCTTTTACTAAAAAAAAAGGGTGTGCAAAAGTCCGTAAAAAATGTTAAATGTGAGAAAAAGTTTATGAATAATTAAAATGATAGAAAACGTAATAATAGGTAAAATTTTTGGAAAATTTTTCAATACAATGTTAAATGAATGTTAATTAAACATTTATGAGAGAAAAAAA